TTTCTTTTTCCAGTACTGGGAATCGAACTCACAACCTTGCACTTGCCAGGCAGGCGCTGTGCCAGTGAGCTAAATCCCCAGCCCCCATCACACATTGTTTAGGGCTCTAAACAAGGCTGGGCTGAGTGCAGACACTCCTGCCAGGGTACTCTCCTGAGCAGGTGGCTCCCTGCCCAAACTGGTGTCATGGGGCCTGGCTCCAGAGCTCTCAGATTGAAGATCATAGTTCTTTATTCCTGAATAAAGAGCCACCAACTCCTTCCCTACCAAGCCATGCTCAGACACCAGGGGGCCTGCCCTCCCCACTAGATGTACCAGAACTGTGGAACTTCCTGGCCTAGTGAGATGAGTGGTGGTCTCTTCTTCAGCCTGGGAGTTACCATTAGGGCTGGTGCTTAAGCAAACTGGAGGAACTAGGGTAAAGGTGGTCTGAAGGAAATGCAGGCAACTGGAGGAATTAGGGCCTGGGATGGGAACACAGATGCACCAGGTGTCAAGTGGTTGAGATGATAGTCTGGGACGTGGTCTGGCATTAGGCTGACTGCAATACTTCAGAAATCTGGGGATCTCTGGGAACTTCAGTGGGAAGATTTAGAGGACTGGGTTTCCAAGTCAAGGGGGCAGGTAGCATTAGGCACAGCTGGATCCCAGGGACTCCATAATGTTATTCTGTTTCTCTGCCTCTTAGCTGTGTCTGTCTCTGGGTGCCTTCATTCTCAGGCAAACTCCTTCAATACTTTTGAGTAATTTTAATAGTTCTTAAGATGACTGATACCTCCAAGACAGATCTCATAGTGGGCTGATTTATTCCAGAGGTCACTGTGACCCCTTCCAAGAAAGTGGGTCACATGTGCAGCCACAGGGTGGCTGGGGGAGAGAAGGGAGTGTTGTGATTAACACTCAGGTGGCCTCAGCCCTCAGAAGCTGCAGTGAATTGAAGCAGACAAAGCCCAGATCCACTGGAGATGGGCAGCAGAATCTCCCTCCTGGGAGCAGTGCATGGAGAAGTTGATTCCCAAATGTAGATTCCCACATCCATCCCTGACCACTCACTTTTTTTTTTTTTTTTTTTTTTGGTACCAGGAATCAAACTCAAGACCCTGCACTTGCCAAGCTCACATTTTTTTTTTCTTTTTGAGACAGGGTCTCACTGTGCAGTTCAGGCCAGTTGTGAGCTCACTTTGTAGCCCAGGCTGGTCTCGAACTTGCAACGATCCTCCTGCCTTAGCCTCCCGAGTCCTGGGATTACAGGTGTGCGCCACTACGCCCGGCTGACTTTTTTTTTCAAAGACAAGGTCTTGCTATGTAGTTCAGGTTGATCTTCAACTCACAGTGATCCCCCTGCCTCAGTTTCTTCAAGTGCTGGAATTACAGGCATGTGCCACAACACCTGGCCAGCACATCCTAACTTTTTGGCCAGAGGAAGCTGGGGAATTTCCTGTGAATTCCAGGGATTGTTGTTATCCCACTGTATTATGTCCCCAAGCCAGGAGAAGGGGGAAGTCTAAGCAGATGCACATCCAAGGGTGGGGCTAGCCTCCTGGTTCACACCTGCCACGGCAGAACTCACAGCTGTCTAGGACCTCAGTGAGCCAAGAGTGACAACTCCCACCTTGTCATTCAATCAGAGCCATGTAGCCTTGTCCTAGCACTCAGGGGCTGGGTAAGGAAGCCGGCCCTTCTCTGGTTTCAAGGAACCAAGGGGACTTTTTTTGGTGCTTGGAAGGGAACAGTGGGCCTGGGGCTGCCTTGCTCCCACTCCTGCCCTCCGGGCCTCAGATGCTGCCCTCCCGGTGGTTTCCTCCAAGCTGGTCCGTGTGGTATGTGAAGGGTCATGTGCCTGATGGAACCACCTCAGCTCTGGGCTTGTTATCTCCCTCCCCTTGTTATTTTGACCCTTGTCCCACTTCCTGGGGATAAGGAGCAGGACAAAAAAGCCCTTGGAGACTTCGAAACAGCAATGGATTCCTCACACTGTCTCCCTTCCGTCCAGGCCCCTTCTTCCCAGGAGACCCCGTGTGTTTGCAGGGTTGGGCAACCCTCTCACTCCTCTGTGGCCCACGTTGAATACAGCACTTGTGGCTCCAGGGTGGAGGCTACAGGAACCTCTGATCATCTACTATGATAAGGAGGTCAGAGAAGAGCTGGGAGGGGCCCTATCAGCCGCCAGACCAGGTGGACGGAGGCAGAATACTAGAAGGGACGGGGGCATGGGGTCTAAGTCCTGCTGACCTTAGCAGTCCTACTGACTCCACTCACCTCAGCCCCATCCTTCTGGGTTTCTCTCTACTAACCACCTCGGGCAACACCTGAAGTGCACCTCAACCTTCACCCTCCTCAGTACCTGGCCACCCTCCAGAGGAAAGCAACTCTTTTGAGCTGCCCTGCCCCTCCTCAGGACTGGGCTGAGCCACCTGGGAGTCCCCTGCTCAGCTGGTCCTGCCAAAGCTATGAGGCCAAGCCAAGGACAAGAGGTTCTCAGGTTCAGAGACTAGAACAATGGCAGGAAGGAACACAGTCAGCAGAAGTAAGAAGCATTCTTCTAGGCCTTCTGTCTTACAACAGCAGGAACTTCGCTTGTGAGAATGAGGACTCACACTGGGCCAGTCACACTGGGCCACAGCTCAGGGTCCTGCTACTTGGGGAGGATGTGTTCCCCACAGGTCTCTTCTGTCCACCCACAAAACAAGGAGGCAGAAAGAAACCCACGTACCCTCCTGGGAATACTGCAGTCCTCAGCTGGGTCAGATGCTTTCCAGTGCCCCTCCCAGCAGGTGGCTTCAGCTCTGAGCCCTTTGTGCCAAAACTGAGTACCACCAAGCCCAGGATAGGCCCGGGGAAGAAGTGCTCCTTGCAGATGACAAGAAACAAAGACCCAGCCAGGAACATGGGCACATGTCTATAATCCCAGCACTTGGAAATGTGAGGCAGGAGGATCACAAGTTCAAGTCCCACCTGGACAATGAAGACACCCTACCTCAAAAAAAAAAAAAAAAAAAAACCTAAGTAAATAAATAAGCAAAGACCCAGCTTCCTTAGGACCAGCTACCTACCAGCAGCCCAGGCTGGAGCATGTCTGCCTCAACAGAGCATGTGGGGGCTGTAATGCCAGAAAGAGCTAGAAACTAGAAGCTGGCGGCTTATCAATAGGTAGATAATGCTGTTGGGACTGCAAGGTCCTGGCTCTTCTAAGCCTCCTCACTGTAACCTCTCTGTGCCTAAACCCTGTACCAAAGGCAGGTGTAAATTCCCTAGCAGGACACCTCTGGGAAGCCAATGGGCAAGTATGGCCATTGTCAGGTCATGAGAGGGCATGAGAGGAACCTCAGCAGGTCACAACCCAACCCTGCCTGACCCTCACACCAAGATATGCTATGGACCAGTGGCTACTACTTATTAGGCAGGCTCCACACAGGACCTCTAAGCCCACAAAGGCCGTGGGAACTGGCCTTTCCCTGAAGGGCAGTTCCAAGAACCAAGGGGCGATCCCAGAACCTGAAAGAGCAGCCATGACCTAGAAAGAGACAGACAGTCCCCGCTGAATAGGCCAGAGCAAGCTCCTGGGAGGGCAGTTGGCCTCCACAGGGATAAGTGTTCATGGTATTAATCACTGCCCACTTAATAAAAACACTTTATTCTCCAAATTACACAAAGACCCCAGGCCTCAACCTGTTCCTGATGTCTGGTATCCCCTCAAGTGCCAGAGTCTCCTGTGGAGTGTGCCAGTGTCCTGAGTGGGTCAGCGTGAGCAGCCTCCGTGGGCTGCCCGCAGGTACTCAGGGACTTGTCGGAGTTCCAGGTGGAGAGTAGTAGGGTGGTGTGAGTTCCCACCTGCTCAGGTTCAGCGGCCACACGAGTCCACACAATCCTGTCCACTGTGGAATACGTGGTAGATACTAGTAGGAGGGAACATAGCAACAGCACCAAGCAGGGAGCCCACCTGGATAGTTACGCCAGCCGCTAGCAATGCGGGCTGGCCACCACCATGTAGCACGGAGCTGATTGCCACCTTGACATATGAGAAGAGGCCCATGCACAGCACCCATGACAGCACCTGGAGAAAGTCACAGCAGGCTGGGTGTGTGATGCCCCTGTCCCAAGGCAAGCCTTCCCCACCTCTCATCTCTTCTGTACTTACCACAAGGACCACGCCTGTAGAGGTGCCCACTAGGGGAGGGCAGGGGCTCAGGACTGCCAATGTTATCAAGTAGGCCCCAAAGAGCATCCCCAGCAGAAAGAGGCCACCAAGTCCTGTCAGAGACCTGCCAGGGATGGGCTAATTCAGGACTGACTGTGCAGGACCCAGTCCCACCCTGAGTTCCTCCCACCAGGGACTGGGGCTCACACGCACCTGCACAGGATGCCCATGGCCAAGAAGCAGGCAAGGGGGTTGGCAGAGCTGCCCAGCACCACTGCCAGGTGGTAAGTCAGGCGCCCATAGGGTAAGCAGGAAAAGCTCTGCACAGCAGGGAGCACACCATTGGTCAGTGCATTGGTGATGGCCAGCAGGCCCAGCAAGCAGGCACCACGGGCTGAGAACAGCTGATGGGCCTTAGGGTCTGGGCTGACAGTGGTGCCTGCTGCCTGGTTGGGTGGCTCCTGCAATGGTGAAGCTTCTTCCTCTTCATCTTCCTCTACTCCTGGTTCTCCCACTCGCAGGCCCTGCCCTGGACTGCCTGTGGGTACAGATGGTGGTGATGGCAGCAACAGCAGGAGACCCTGGAAGGCCGCAGCTGAAGTGACCAGGAGGGCAGTCAGTGCCCAGAAGAAGGTGCTGGCACGAAAACGCTCAGGGAAGTAGCTGGGACCAGAGGTGCCATTGGCAGGAGCAGGCAGGCACTCAAGGCGGCCCACACCTTGAATGAGGGCCAGCGTACAGGGCAGCAGGGCACTGAGGCCTTGACCCAGGAAGAAAGACCGTAAGAAGGGAGGTGGAAGGTGGCTGAGGAAGGGCAGGAAAGTGACATTAGAAGCACAGCAGGCTAGCGCCAGCACAAATGCCAACGTTAGAAAGGCCACAGAGTGGGGCTGCCCTGCCACTGGGGCCACGTGGTGCCACAGAGGGGCCAGCAGGGCTGTGCCTACTATGCCCAGCCCCTGCACCACCTGGATGGGGACCCGCTCCCCTTTGCCCGGGGCCAGCCGCCTCCACAGGGTCACCACCAGCAGACCCAGGTTCCCCAGTGCCACAAGCACAGAGAGGTACGCCGGGAGGCTCCAACCTGTAGAGGGGGAGGAGGCTGCGTCAGGGCACCCTGAGGAGACACAAAAGCCGCACCCCCCCCCCATACACACTTCTTCACTCACTCTCAGGGAGGTCTTTCACCACCACGGGCAGTTCCACCCAGATGCCATTCACTGCAGCCCAAGACCCCATGCCGAAGAGGGCCACCAGCAGGTGGGTCAGCACCAGACGGCCCAGCGGCGGTGCTGCCATGAGGCCAAAGGAGGAGGAGGGCGGAAGGTCACAGACCGCTGTCTCCCCACCTAAGTTCTAAGACGCTCCGGCTCTTCTGGGCTTGAAAGACCTCTTCCAGCTGGAAGAAAACAAACAAGCTTGCGGGACAGGACCGGAGACAGAGGAGGTCGCGGGGCACCTGGAGGGGACACGGTAGGGTGTCGGCACGGGGACCGATCGAGGGAGGAGCTCAGCGGACCCTGTTAGCCACAGAGGACCAGCCTTTTGTACTGGGAAAACAGCGAAGCCCTCTCCCAACGACCGGGGATCCGCGAGCAGTTGGTGGGTTTCTACGAACCCAGCGCTGCCGGTGGCGAGGGGGCGTGGCCCCGCGCTGCCGGCTCCGCGGCCGGCCTTCCGGCCAGCGAGCGCACAATCCCGGCCCCGGGCGCAGCCCTGCAGGATGGCTGCGCACTCTCCTGCCCCAGCCGGACTTAGGCCGCCGCAGCGGCCCGCCCTCCCCGGAAGCGGGGTTTAGGGCGGGGCTCTCCGGGAGCTGGAGGGGAAGCCAGGAATTGGTGGCTCCGCCCCTTCCGCCGAGTCCTACTTCCGCTCCGCCCGCGGCGGCGTTGGTGGCTATGGCTCCCGCGGCTGCGAGGCGACCTCGGCGTAAAGCCAGCCGCAGAGCCCGGAGCTCGCCTCTGGCCGGGGCGCGGGACCGCTCGGCCGAGGACTGGTGGTGGGACCGGCTGGCGCCCAGCGGCTCCGAGTACCACCTGTTGCAGGCAGACAGCATGCTGCTCGTGCTGCCTGGTCCGGGGCCCTCCCGCTCCCGCGCGCATAGGCGCGCCTCTCGCCGCGCTCAGCGGCCGCCCTCGGGCTCTGCCGGAGCGGCCAAGCCCAAGCCCCGACCCCGACCTGAGCCAGCGCCCACGCCGCCGGAGCAGGGGCCCGACGCGGGCTGGGGAGACCGCATTCCTTTGGAGGTCCTGGTGCAAATTTTCGGGCTGCTAGTGGCAGCCGATGGGCCCATGCCATTCCTCGGCAGGTACACTACCCCACTTGGCGTACACTGCAGGTGCATTTACGGCGGTAGCCTACAGCTTGGGTGGCTGGGCACAGCAGAGGGTGAAAGTGTGTTAGTGTACATACACTTGTGCTCTAGCGTGTATCGGGAATCTACTTGGAACCCCAGGAACTGGGCTTTGAGCAGAGGCGCCTGCTGGGCTGCAGGTTGTGGGAGCACATCGGTTCCCCTTTAGTAAGCCCCATCAAGTCCCATCGCAGGCATCGCCCACGAAAGGCAGGGCACCTTCAACCAACTGTTCTCCCAGGGCTGCACGCGTGTGCCGCCGCTGGCACGAGGCCGCCTCCCAGCCCGCGCTCTGGCATACCGTGACTCTCTCGCCCCCAATGGCTGGCCGCGCTGTCAAGGGCAATGTCAAGGCGGAGAAGAAGCTTCTTGCTTCCCTGGAGTGGCTCATGCCCAATCGGTGAGGGGCCCCTGTTCTTACCCCTTGCGCTGCCTGTGTTGGCAGGGAGGGCACTGGCTGCAGGGGCAGCGTGGGAACGCTAGTGCAGCTGGGCCTCTGCTGTCACCCAGGTTCTCACAGCTCCAGAGGCTGACCCTCATCCACTGGAAGTCTCAGGTACACCCTGTATTGAAGGTGAGCACTCAGGGCTGTCCTACACACCAGTTGTGACACTTGAGGTTGTCAGTACTCCCAGGGGGTGGTTCAATACTTCTCCACAAGGATGCCTGCCTTTCCTTTTGTCACTCTCCAGTGGGATGGGGCCAGCTGTACGGACGCCCAGGTGTGCCTGGAATGGGCAGAACACAGGTCATAGCTGGGGCCGTACAGTGGGGTTGGCATGGCCATCAGTCTCTTTCCCTGTGGACCTTTGCCTGCCTTCTCCCAGTCCCATGTGGCCTGTGTCTTTCCACAGCTGGTTAGCGAGTCCTGTCCTCGGCTCACCTTCCTCAAGCTTTCAGACTGCCATGGCGTAACTGCTGACACTCTGGTCATGCTAGCTAAAGCCTGTGGCCAGCTGCACAGCCTGAACCTACAGCACTCCATGGTGAGCCCTGTGTCCCAAAGGGCCCAGAAGAAGACTGAGCCCACATGACAGGCGTCTCTGTCCTGGGTCCCCAGGTGGAGTCCACAGCTGTGGTGAGCTTTCTGGAGGAGGCAGGGTCCCGAATGCGCAAGCTATGGCTGACTTACACCTCCCAGACAACAGCCATCTTGGGTGCACTGCTGGTAGGTTGGCATTGGGCAGGAGCAGAGCCAAAGACTGAGCTGGCAACTTCCAGGTGGCTATATTCCACCTCTATATATTCCACTATATTCCACCTCTGCAGAGCAGCTGCTGCCCTCAGCTACAGGTCCTGGAGGTGAGCACTGGCATCAACCACAGCAGCACTCCACTGCAGCTGCCTGTTGAGGCTCTGCAGAAAGGATGTCCCCGGCTGCAGGTACCTGATGTCCTGCTTGTCCCACCTGTCACCCCCCTCCCTCCCTGCAGCCTGAGCCTTGCCTCCAGGTGCTGCGGCTGCTGAATCTCATGTGGTTGCCCAAGCCTTCTGGGCGAGGGGTAGCCCTGGGACCAGGCTTCCCCAGCCTCGAGGAGCTCTGCCTGGCCAGCTCTACCTGCAACTTTGTGAGCAACGAGGTCTTGGGCCGCCTGCTACATGGTTCCCCCAACCTGCGGTTGCTGGATCTTCGTGGCTGTACCCGCATCACACCTGCTGGCCTGCATGATCTGCCATGTCAAGGTCAGCTCTTGTAAGGTGATGACTAGGCAGGTGGGTTGTGGTGCTTTCCTACCCTGTGGCTCATGCCTGCTTCTCTCATCTCAGAACTGGAGCAGCTGCACCTGGGCTTGTATGGGGTATCGGACCGGCTGACTCTAGTCAAGGAGGGCAGCTCCCTGTTGACCCAGAAGTGGTACCACACACTGAGAGAACTGGACTTGAGTGGCCAGGGCTTCAGTGAGAAGGACCTGGAGCAGGCACTGGCTGCCTTCTCATGCATCCCTGGGGGCTCACACCCAGCCCTGTGCTCTCTCAACCTCAGGGCTACCCGGGTCACACCGAACACTGTCAGGTCAGCATCCCTTTCCCTTGTAACTAGTATGAGGCCCAGGTATGCTGCTTGGCTTGATGCTTCCAGGGCTTGAGAAGGGAGTGCATACTGACCAAGTTCCTTCTTGGCATTGGCTTTGGGGATGCCAATGTACTGGGCTTGGACCTGGATTACTGTGGGTGGCAGGCCAGGGGTAGAGCCCAGGGAGTTGTCTGCACCCCATCAGAGCCTGGATTTTCCTGGGCAGCTACTCACTTCCCTCTTGTTTGCCCTATCCACAGTTCTGTGATCAGTAGCTGCCCTGGCCTGCTGTATCTCAACCTGGAGTCCTGCCGTTGCCTCCCCAGGGGCCTGAAGCGAGCCTACCGGGGTGTGGAGGAAGTCCAGTGGTGTTTGGAACAGCTGCTCACCAGCCATGCTTCCCCCAGCTAGGTGGCCCCTGACCAAGCCTGGCTAGCCTTGCCCTGTATTTTTTCCTACTTTGGGATGTTTGAACATTTTTGTCACAATAAAACGTTTCTAGGAATTTTGTGTGGTCCTTGGAATAGGCCCTTGGGTGAGGAGTGGGTTACACCTAATGTGTGCTGTGCTGTTGGGGAGGCCCGAAGGACAGCCAGCGGCTGTCTTTGCCTTTGCATGCTTATGCTGGGTTCCGCCCTTGTATTGTGTGTCCCATCTCAGGATCCTGAGTGAGGTGTCAGGGAGGAAGTGGGAACAGAACGACTGTGGAGAGGAAGGGACCCTGTTCAGCCACAGGGTTCTCTGAGGGGTGCCTTCTTAGAGCTTTCTCGGCAACATAGGCCTAGAGTGTCCAGGTACCCCCCTTAAATGAAGACTGTGAACCAGACTGCAACAGGTTGCAGATGGAATGGAGAGTCAGAAAATGCATGTCCATGAAGAAGGGGTAGTCAACAGAGGCCCCCTTCTAGAACCTGCCTCCCAGAACTTCTAGAACCTGTGTGAGGCCCAGCCTGAGCTGCTGCCTGGCTTCATTCCCCTGTGAATTCCTGCTCCTTCTCAGGCTACCGTCCTGGAGTTATTGTTCCGGGTAGGGGTGTAACTGTGGATAGTGGGCAGTGGCAGTGGCAAACTGCCAGGCTGACCACCTCTGTCCAACCCAGAATCCCAAGGGCTGGGCCAGTGGCCTGCCCACATCCTCCACTGGCAGCCGCTTCCAGCTCTGGTCCCTGAGCCTCTTCCGCACGGAGCGGCATCTCGCCAGACGCCTCAAGAATAACAGCTTTTACCCATTCACCCAGCAGCAGCCTGATGGTGAGAGGGCTGAGGACCAGGAGGAGAGGACCTGGAAGGGCACTGGGCAGGGCTGGCCGGTGGGCCCAGGCTGTGCCCAGGGCACTGACAGGCAGCGGCAGGGGTGTGCGGGGGAGTGATGGAAGTTGTCCTCAAGTGTACCCCGGCAGTCTTTGTGCTAGAGTACTACCTGGACACTCTCTGGAAGGGGGCTCTGCTCTTCGTCGTCTGCCTGGTCCTGGTCAGCTTAGACATCCTGAGGCAGGTCTGCTCTTTTGGTCCCAACCCCAGCACCAAGCCGCTCCCCTACCCCACCATCCCCCCTCCTCCACCCCAGTCCCTAAACAATGCTGACCATCAGATCCTCCCTACCAACATCACCCACAGGCGCAGAAGCAGGTAACCTGGGCTGTCTCGGCTTATGGCATGTGTGTGGGGCTGTGGCTGCTGATCTCATCCCTGCCGCTGCGCCGTCTGGTGCTGAACCACACGCGCGGCATGTACCACTTCTCCATCCAGGGCCGCACCGTGTACCAGGGGCCCATGCACCTGGTCTATGTGCGCCTGGCGCTCAACTCCGACGGTGACTTGTGCGGCGGGTCGGGTCGGGTCGGTGGGTGGGGGGGTGGACGGGAGGGAGAGGACAGATTGTGGTGGCCGGGTCTCAGAGTCTTCCCCTCGAGGCGTGGTCCCCATTGGAGGCCCCGCCTCGCCCGGGGTCCGGTCCTAAAAGTACCCCCTTGAGGCTCCGCCCCGGAGGCCAGGGCTGAGCCGCCCGCCCCTCGCCAGCCAAAGGAAGGCGCTTCTTTCGATTGGTCCTCTGCGGCCACAAGCTGGAGCCCCTGGTGCTGGTTCAGCTGTCAGAGCGCTACGAGGTGAGTCGAGCTCCAGACATGGCCCCTCTTCTAGAGAAATGATGGGGGTCAGGGTTTGGGATCTTTGGGTGGGGCCATTTTGCATGGAGAGGGTTGGTTCAGCGCCTAGATCTCAGCGCTGTGATTGCGTCCGGGGAGGGCCGGGGTGGAGATTCCCAAGAGGCGCACCCAGTGCCCAGAGACCCGCGACCGTCATCCTTTCCCACAGCACATGGAATATCTGGGCCGTCACATTGCCCGGAAACTCAATATCAACTACTTCGACTACCTGGTCACGTCTTATCGGCACGAGATCCGTCACTGGCCGCTGGGGGCCGCCTTTA